TTTATCTGAGCAGTTTTTCAATTTTCATTAAAATCCGTTATAGTAATGGTCATGATTACATATTTGTACAGTAGAAGCTTAGCTCTTTTAAAAAGTATTTTACTATAATGTGATCCTCGCAATTTTGCAAAACAAAGCTAAGTGCCACGTGAATTTCTGTGGCTAAGAAAACATTAAAGAGTGTGGTAGGGGAAGTAGGGGAAGGTAGCCCCTCATTACTGCCTGATAGAAGTAGAAGTCCAGGTTCCCCACCTGATTTACATTGAGCTCCTCCTTACTGTTGGGTAGGGGTAGGAGTTCTGGCTTCCACATGGTCACCACAGACACTGTGTGAGCGCAGACTTGTTATTGCTGGGTGATGGTGAAAGTCCTGACTCTCTACTGGCCCTTTTCTGGCATTGCCTCAGTGTCACCCTCCCCTACTTCCCCTGCCACAGTAGTTTCAGAGAAAACCAGCTGAAACCTAAGGTTTAATTAAGATCCAGTCTCATAACAATACAAAATGTCCACATTTCAATAAAAAATCACTCAAATACCAAGAACCAGGAAGATCTCAAACTGAATGAAAAAAGAAAATTAAAAGATGCCAACACCAAGCTGACAGAGATGTTAGAATTAATCTGACAAAGCAACCACGATTAAAAAAAAAAAAGCTTCAATGAGAAATTGTGAACACATGTAAAAAAAAAGAAAATATAGACAATGAAAATATAGAAAGCCTCAGTCAGGAAATAGAAAGTCCTAGCAAATAAATAGAAGATATAAAGAAAAACCAAATGGAAATTTGAGAACTGAAAAATACGTTCTCAACAACAGAATGGAGAAAAAGCATCTGTGAAGTAGAAGATAGAACAACAGAAATAACTCCATCAGAACAACAGAGAGAAAATGGACTGGAGAAAAAAATATATAAGGGAACAGAATGTAGTAGGCTGAAAAAATAACCCCTCAAAGGTATGTTCACTTCCTAATCACCAGAACCTATAAATATTACCTTATGTTGCACAACAGTGAATATTATTTTATATGGCAAAATAAGTGATTGAGTTAAGGATCTTGAGACAAGGAGATTATCCTGGATTATCCAGGGGGGGCCAGAATGCTATAATAAATATCATTATAAGAGAGAGACAAAGGGAGATTAGACACAGAGAAAAAGGTGATGGAAAGATGGAGGCAGAGATTGGAGTGATGTAGCCTCGAGCCCAAGGAACACCGAGGCATGACCAGCAAGCAGCTCCAGGAGATGGAAGAGACAAGAAACAGGGTCTGTACCCCAGAGTCTCTGGAGGGAACACAGCCCTGACAACACCTTGAGTTCAGACTTCTGGCCTCTAAAATTGTGAGAGAATAAATTTCTGTTGTGTTTAAGACACAAGTTTGTGGTGATTTGTTATAGAAGCCAAAAGAAACTAATACAAAGAACTTCAGGGGCCTGTGCAACTATAGAAAAGATGTAATGTTCATGTCATTGAAGTCCCAAAGAGGATCGGGCTGAAAAAGTACTTGAAAAGGTAGTGGCTGAGAACTTCCCAGTTTTGGCAAGAGACGTAAACCTGCAGATTCAAGAAGCTGATCAAAATGAAAACAGGATAAACCCAAAGAAATCCATTCAAAACCATGTCACATTAAACTTCCCAAACACAAAGTCAAAAGATTTGAAAGCAGAGAAAAATGACATCTTATCTTAGGAGAAAATTCAAATGACAGTGGATTTCTTATGAGTAATAATGGAGACCAGAAGGATTGACATAGTATTTTTAAAGAACTGAAAGAAAGGAACTGTCAAGCCAGAATCCTATACTTGGTGAAAATATCCTTTTGGAGTAAAGGAGAAAATCAAGACACCCTCGGATGAGTAAGACATAGAATTTGTCACTAGGAAACCTACCTTTAAAAAATGGCAAAAGGAATTTCTCTAAATAGAAGAATCAGGAAAGAAGAAGGAATATGGGTAAATCCAATAAGCTTCCTTCTCTTGATTTTTCTAAATTATGTTTAACTGTTGAAGCAAAAATTATAACATTGTCTAATGTGGTGCTAAATACATTTAGAGGAAATATTTAAAAGAATTATAAATGGGGAGGGTAAGGGATGTAAAGGGAAGTAAGGTTTCTATATTTCACTCAAGCTGGTAAAATGATGACACCAATAGAACGTGCTAAGTTGTGTCTACATGATATGAAACCTAGAGCAACTACTAAAAAAGCTATACAAAGAGATACACCAAAAATTTTATAGATAAATTAAAATACAATTTAAAAAACATTCAAGTAACCTACAAGAAGGCAAGAGAAGAAAACAGAGATGAAAAAACCAAACATGAAATGACAAAATTATAGAAGCAGAGAACAGAGTCCTGGTTGCCAGTAGTTAATGAGAAGATGGGAGTGAGCAGGAAGTGGGTGTGTTCATAAAAGGGATTGTAGTGGTGGAAATGTTGTGTATCTTGACTGTAACAATGTAAATATTCCAGTTGTGACATTGTACAATAGTTCTGCAACATATTACTATTTGTGGAAACTTGGTAAAGATTAAATGAGATCTCTGCATTATTTCTTACACTGCATATGAATCTACAATTATATTAAAATAAAATTTAATAAAAAAAACAAAAGAAGTGTAGTGTTTTGTGATATGAGAAGGCTATATTGAATTCAAACTTCAGTGTCCAGAAATCAAGCTTTATTAGAACAAAACAAGTTGGTTCTCAACTAAGAAAACCTACCTTAAGATCAGTTGAATAGAATTAGATTAATTTGATCTGCAACCTGAATTCCCCCTTGTCATGTAACATAATAAATTCACACGTTCTGGAGATTAGGTGAGGAGTAAACATCTTGGGGGAGGGGGTGTCATTATTCTGCCTACCACAGGTAGTATGCTATCAGCACCTGTCAGTCATTCCATAGCAGTACATCGTGATTTCTCATTTCTTTTTATAGCTGCCTAGGTAGTTATGCCACAGTTTAGTCAATCAGTCACCTATTGATGGACATTAGGTTTGTTTCCAGTCTTTTAGCTTGAATACTTGAACGAATAACCTTGTATGCATGTCATTTCATATATTTGTTAATATGTCTTTGGGATGGATTTGTATAAGTGGTATTGCAGGGACAAAGGGTAAACTTACGTAAGTGCTTTTGCTACATTTTCTTATTTTCCCAAATAGGGGCTGTATTATTTTGTGTTCCCACTGAGAAAGTATAAGAGTTCCTCTTTCCTCATAAATAGAGTATATTGTCAAACTTCCGGATTTGAGCCAATCAGATAAAATGACTACTGGCATCTCGGTGTAGTTTTTAGTTTGTATGTTTATATTTTGAATGAAGCTGAGCATCTTTACAGACATTTGAGGGCTGCTACAATTTCTTATTCTATCAACTGTTCATTTCTTTTGCCCATTTTATCCATTGGGTTATTGGCTATTTTCTTTTTAGGAAATATTTTAGGAATCCTTTATATATTAGGGATATCAGTCCTTTGTGATATGTTGCAAACATTTTTCCAGCGTGTCATTTGTCTTCTGACTTTTCTTTATGGTGCTTTTTGATAACCAATTCATTTTATTTTTATTTAGTCAGATTTATCTGATTAAATTTAATTTTTTATTGCTTTTGGAAATTGAGGCACTATTAGGCAAGGTTTCCCTGTTCCCGGGGAATTAGAATTATTATTCATGTTTCTTCTAATACATGTATAGGTACATTTTTTTACATTTGGTTTTTGGATCCATTTGGAATTTATCCTGACTGTGCCGTGTGATGGGAGATATTAATTCAATTTTACTTTTGACCAAATGGCTATCAGTTGTCCCAACACAACTTATTTACACGTCTGTCATTTCCCCTGTTAATTTGAAATGCCACCATCATTTACTAAATATCCATAGGTACCTAGGTCTATTTCTGTTTTTACACAATATCACACTCCTAACTGTAGAGGCTTTATAACATGTACTAATATCCGATTAGGCTGTCCCTCACCATTTTTCTTTTTTCAGAGGGTATTGTGGCTATTCTTATTTTCCCATATCAACTTTATAATCAACTTGTCTAATTCTAGAACAATATGTGTCGATACTTTTATTTTAGAAGACTGACTTCTTCATTGAGTCTTTCGAGCCAAAACTCTTATTAGTCTTGTTGGCATATGGCTTTCTATTTGTCTAAGTATACACTTGGCCTTTCAGGTTTTCCCCATACAGGTTTTGCATATTTTTTCCTAAGCTTATTCCCAATTATTCTTTCTTCTTGTTTTGTTTGTTTGCTTGCTTTTTGGTTGTTGCTATTGTAAATTCGGTATTCTTTTCCATTATATCTTGTAACTTTATCACTGGTTATTTGCATATAGGAAGGCTCTTGATTTTAGTGTGTTAATTTTATATCTTGCTACTTTACTAAATGATCTTTTAGTTTTCCCATTGAACCCTATGGGTTTTCAGATGTATAATCATTATCGTCAGCGCATAAGAGAGAACCGAAGAAGGTGAAAATCAGGCAGAAAGCACCAGGTTGATCCTTGAGAAGTGTGTGTGGAAGAGGCCCCTTCCTGAGTCGGGAAGGACCTCGGGAAAACATCCTTTTGAGGCATCTTGAACATCAAAGGTGCAGAAACCCAAATAAAAGTGAGAGTGGAAAAAGCATGGGATTTCCCTAGCACAGGTAGGCTCGCCAAGACTCGACCGCCCATCGGGTCGGGGGAAGTGGAGATACTAGCCAGCCGAAGAGGAGCAGGAGAAAACAATATCGCGAAACCGCGGGCCTGTGAGTCTTCAGCTGTCCTCTCACGTGGGCGCGCGGGAGATCTACCAATTTGCGAGCCCCTCCCGCCCCCTTCCTAGAGCGGCGGCGGAAGTGAACCGGTCTTCCGCACTTCGCGGCCGCTTCCGGCCTCTATGGGTCGCTGCTGGTGGGTTCCGGTTTCGAAGCGGTTCGAGGCATCAACGCCTTGTACCCGGAGAGAAACCGCTGCTGGCGTCCTGGGGCTGCGGGTGAGCGGTCCTGTGCAGCGGACGCGGCAGGCGGGGGTGCTACGGCCTTCTCGGCCCCGGCTGGAGTGGGGCGGCCTCCGGGCCTCACTTGCCTAGGTGGATCCGCGAGAAGCTCCTTGACGCAGAAGCTAGCCCCGACCCCCAATCCCTCGGAGAGTGGGTCGGAGCCCGGGGATGAAGGAGAGACCCGGCTGTGCGCTCCATTCCTCCCGGGCTTGTCTCGAGCGGTGTACCCTTCTTGAATTATGCGCCTTCTGACATTTCTGAACAGTCTTGGGTCACAGACGCTGACTGGCGTCCTCGGGCCTCTTTCCTGGGCCTGCCTTTAGATTTAAAATCACAGAACGCGAGGGTAGAAGAAAGTCTTAAAGACCAATGTCTTCAGCCTTTCCCTTGATAAATGAAGAATGAGGAGCAGAGAGATTAGGCTCCTGAGGGAATAAATTCATGTGACTTTGCTGCTTTTATGACTGAATGATTTCCACCAGACATCTGGGTATTTAAAAAATTTAGAAAGCAGCTAATCAAGGATGTCTCAACTTTTTATTATTGTTTGCCGTAAATGTTTGTTTATTCCGTTTAATTGTTCTTTTTTCTATCATCAAGTGGAAATGTTTCCTACCAAGTCTTATTCTTCTTAGAGTCCTGAAACAACTTAGCACCTTTTACTTAATATTTCTCTTTAAATTAGTCTATTCTTGAGTCTTTTTTATCAGAGTTATTTTCCTGCGTATAGAAAATTAACCTGGAGGCGGCTTTCAAAGTACATTTTTAAATTCTTAGAATTTGCAGTTTTTGTTTTTGGTGTAGTTTGTGTTAATGATGATGGCTTCTTCTTCAGTTCCAGCCAGAAAGAGACGGCACAGGAGATCTTGCTTGAAGCATTCATAAGCATTTGCACAGCTGTGATGGCATCTACTTGGTCCATCCAGGCCAACAAGGAGCAAGATGAACTTTTGGAAATAAAGATAGAGGAAGAGGAGGTGGAGGAGGAAAATAAGTGTACCGCCAGACAGGATCAGAACGTGCAAAAGAACACCACCCACAGCAGGGAGGTCTTCCGACAGTACTTCAGGCAGTTCTGCTACCAGGAAACATCTGGACCCCGTGAGGCTTTGAGCCAACTCCGGGAACTTTGCCATCAGTGGCTGAGGCCAGAGACACACACAAAAGAGCAGATTCTGGAACTGCTGGTGTTGGAGCAATTCCTAACCATCCTGCCCGAGGAGCTCCAAGCTTGGGTCCAGGAACAGCATCCACAGAGTGGGGAAGAGGTGGTGACTGTGCTGGAGGATTTAGAGAGAGAGTTGGATGAGCCAGGATATCAGGTGAGAACAAAGATGTGGTTTCTGAGAAAAGATGAATTAGGGATTTCTAGGCCAGAATGAAGTCTAACATTATTTCACAAAACGTATTCTCGACACTTTGGTGCATCAGAAAGGGGCCTGAGTGTCGTAGAACATTGGTTAACATAATCCTAACTTATTTATATCTTTTCTGTAGAAGGATCATGTATTTCTGCATTAAGCTACAAAATTTTGTTTGATGAAATGCTGCCCAGAAACATTAGAAACAGAAGACTTGTAGGACAGAGAGAAAATGTTAGAGAGATGATGGTAACAAAGTGGGCAGCAGCCTCTTGAAAGGGGCATCACTTCTGCTGAACAATACAAATAATTAAGAAATCAGGTTTTGCAGATATATCCACTGCCTTGTCTCCATTAAAGGATTAAAAGATAGGGGCTTCCCTGGTGGCGCAGTGGTTGAGAGTCCGCCTGCTGATGCAGGGGACACCGGTTCGTGCCCCAGTCCGGGAAGATCCCACATGCCGCGGAGCGGCTGGGCCCGTGAGCCATGGCCGCTGAGCCTGCGCGTCCGGAGCCTGTGCTCCGCAATGGGAGAGGCCTGCGTACCGAAAGAAAAAAGAATTAAAAGATGGAGAAATCAAAGTCACCATCTCAGAGGAATGAGATGTAGGAGCAGAGTGGAAAGTTAGGAGGGAGGGGCAGGTCATGGGACCCATGTTTCTTTGAGTAGTTGAAAGCCCAGTTAAGTTGGAAAGGTGAGTAGAAGAATTGAGCACAGAGTCCAGGACCTTGAATACCAACCTCCTGAGTTTAGATTTTATTCTGTAGGACAGAAGCTCCTAATCTGTTCTCTCTGAGTCTAAATGAATTTTATTAACGCCAAGATATAAAAAAGAACCAAATTACATAGGACTATTTTGTTTTAGCGTTGATAAAAGACAGTGGTTTTCACCCGGTGACAATTTTGTACCGCAGAGGGCATTTGGCAACGTCATGGAACATTTTTGGTTGTCTTAACGGCGGGAGGTACTACTGGCATCTAGTGGCTAAAGGACAGGGATGCTGCTAGATATCTCACAGTGGAAAGAACAGCCTTATACAACAAAAAATTATTTGACCCAGCATGTCAGTAGAATCAAGGCTTAGAAAGCTTGGTATAGAGACTATAAACGGTGAAATAATAAAAAGGAAATATAATCTAGCATTGAAGTACAAAGACTGAAGAGGAAAGGAGCATGTGGCAAAAAGATCTAAGTTTAAAATAGGGTCATGAAAGTGTGACTGCGAAGGAAGAGGCATGTCTTAGGTAAGAATTAATTGAAAATGATGACAGAGTAGAGGTGTAAAGAAGGAAGAAAGAATTGAGAACTCTTTACTGAGCAGTCTATTCTAGGCTAAGCAGTAGGGATTTCAAACTTGAAAGACGAGCATAACGGAGACAATTCTAACAGAGTGCAAGATTGTAGGCGAAGGTGGATTGGGAAAAGTTCATTTATTCAGCAGATATTTATTGACTATCTCTTGTTTACTAGGCACTGGGAATGCACCAGTGAACAAAGTGTAGAGGGTTGCTGCTCTTACGTTGATAGATTTTAGTCTACTGAGAGGAGACAGACAGTAAACAAAAAAATCAACAAATGTGTAATACATCAGGTGGTCATAAATTCTATATTTAAAGAAGCAACAGTAAAGCAGAGAAAAGGAATAGTGAATGAAATGAAGATTGTGTTGTTTTCAATAGACTGGTCAGGGAAGGATTTTCAGATAGGGTGACATTTAGAGCAGAGATCTGAATTAAAAGAGCAAGCCATGCAGCCATCTAGGATAAGAGTGTTCAGGCAGGGGAAATATCAGTAGTAAATGGATAGGTCCTAAGGTGAGAATGTGCTTGTCATGGTAGAGATGTATTTGTCAAGGAGGAGATGAAATCAGATAGTTATAAGAAGATCAAACCATACAAGGGACTTGTAGGCCATTATAAGGAATTCGGATTTTATTCTGAGATGGAAAGTCATTGGAGAGTTTTGAGCAGAAGAGAGATTTAATCTGACTTAAATATTAACATAATTACTACCTGCTATGTTGGAAAAGTTCTGCATTGGGGCTCATGGTGGGACTAGGGGAGGCATAGGGGACAAAGTTAGAAGCAGGGAAACCAGTTTAGGAGGCTGTGGCTATAAGCAATAATCCAGGCAAGAGATGCTGGTGGCCTGGACTAGGATAGTAGCAGTGGAAGTGGTGAGATGAGATGTGATTGGGTTCTGGATACCTTTTGAAGGTAGAGCTTGAGAGGATTTGTTTCTGTATAGGTTGCAGGATGTGAGAGAACGTGAGTTAAAGATTATGCCAAGGGTTTTAGTCTGAACATCAGGTAGAATGGGTTTGTCATTCACTGAGATGGTAAAAGGAATCAAGAGTTAGGTTTTGGATGTGTAAATTTTGAGATTCTTATTAGAATCCAAGTGGAAAGTTTGAGCAAGCAACTGGATATAAAAAGTTGGAATTCAGTGGGGGGAAATCTGCTAGAAATATAAAATTGGGACTTGCCAGAATATGGGTGGTATTTGAAGCCATGAGACAAAAAGGGATCATCAGGGGAGTAACCAGCAGTGGAAACTGGGGAGTGGCCGGGAAGGTAGGAAGAGAACCGAAAGAAAGAATGGGATTTTCAGGTGCAGGCAAAAGTAATTTGGTTTTAGTCATGTTGAGTTTGTATTGCCAACCAGTCCTTTCCCTTGAGGGCTGCTGAGAGTAGCTAGTGGAGTTTACAGCTTGATTTATGAGGCCTAACTGAAGATTCAGGGACAGAAGGCACAGTTCACTATACTGGCCTTTTTTTGCTTTCCCCTCCCCAAAATTTGAAGTATCAAAACAACTTTTTCTGTACATCTGAGATAGTACCAGCTGATTTTGGCTCTCATTCTGAGGGAGCGATTACAAAATGAAACTATGTCAGGGAAATAGAGCCAGTGTATGGTGATTTCTTATTTACAAAATTTAGCCATTGAAGGGGATGGGGAAGTAACTTGAGGGCCTGTCATATGCCAAGTCCTTGTGCGAAGTGCTTTACATGGCATGGTGTCATAATCTCAGAGTAATTTCTAGCCCATGGTGACAGAGCTACTAAACTAAGGATCAGAGTAAGTAACTAGAGTGATTCCAGATCCCTGCTTTTTATAATACCATGCTGGGGGAGCCTATTACTTTTAAATGCAAGAGGAAATGGGCCCGTGGAGTAGTGGAAGCTACAGAGTGGCTGAAATTGCTGAGTAAATGAGTTAATTGAAGGAGCAGGGGTCAAAGGGAAGTGGAAAAGGATGAGATTGAAGGCAAAAGCCTTGAAAAAGAAAAGACATCTTCCTTTAAGATACAAGGGAAGGAGAAGAGTATGAGAGTGGAGATAGATAAAGTGAAGGGGAGATGATTTTTTGAGATGATTGTGATCTTAGATAAATAGAAAATAAGATCATCTCCCAGAAAGAAGTGGGGTGGGGACCTCAGAAGAGCAGAGTCTATTAGGAACAGCTTTTGGGGTAAATATGGAAGAGATTTCTCTCCTTTTCCTTTTTTCCCTTCCTTTCTTTACTTTCACTTTTACCTTCTCCCTTTACTTTTCCCCTTTCCTTTCCTTCTTTCTCACTTCTGTTTTATTTCCCCCTAAGTTCTTTTCCCCTCCTTTCTGCCTCTTTTTACCTTCTTTTCCTTCTCTCTTGTCTTTTTTTTTTTTCTCTTTCATTTCTCCATTTCTTTGAGCATAGACAAAGAAGTAAAAGGGGGCACAGTCAGCATTCTTTAACTGTTAAGAATAGGGGAAATTACTTCCAGCTGAGGAAGGGAAGGTTTCTCAGAGGAGGTGACATTTATGTTGGCCTTGAAGAATGAGTAGGATTATGGTAAGCTGATATCTGGAAAGAAGTTTATTTCAAGTTTCAGAGAGCTGGGTGCCACTGCCATGAATAGTATACTGTTCTGTTTAATGTTATCAGAGTGAGTATCTCAGTTATATCTCATCTACCTCAGGTCTCAGTCCACACTGAGGAACAGGAAATGTTCTTGCAGGAGATGGTAGCTCTAAGAACAGAACAAGAACCCAGAATGTCCCTCCCATCTGTGAAAGCCCAGCTAAAGTGTGAATCTCCAGAACTTGAAGCCCAGAAGAAGCAAGGTAAAGAAGAAAGACCCACCTTGGGAGGAAGGGGAAGATGGGGCTAACACAGGGCACTGGGGCTCTTTTGTACTTTGTGCTGTTTCTGATCATTAAAGTCAGGAAAGTCTCTCTAGAAATCTGACGGCTCATGTGTAGACCCCAGGCAGCCTGGTTTGTCACTCTACAGCTCTTTTTTTCTCTTTATATTAATATTTTTTAAATTCTGGCTGTATTTTATTTAAAATCACTTAGTTTAGTTCTTCTGACAGTTATTTTCCTCTGTACTGACCTCCCTGCTATTTTTAGCCTTTATCCTAGCAGACAGTACCATTATCTTCCAATTCGACTATCTCCTGCCTCCTTCACTTAAATAAACCTTTGCTCCATGATGTCTGCAGCTAACTCTCAGATGGTGCAGGGAAAGAAAAAATATGTGTGTGTGTGTGTATGTATGTGTATTACTCTTATAAAGAGAAGGAGTAATAAAGCAAATGGGGTAGAATGTTCAAAGTTAGTGAAGGGGTGAAAGACTCAGTACTTACCTTCCTTATTTCTATTTCCTCTATTTTTTTTTTCATTTAATTTTTTTAAATAGGTGAAAATTCACATGGTCCAAAAAAATAATAATTTAAAGTTACCCAGTGAAAAGTTTTCATTCCACTCAATTTCCCTAGCTATTTGGTCTCCTTACCCCTATTCTGAAATAGGTTGTCACTGTTACTAGTTTCTTGTGTGTCCTTCTAGAGATTTTTTAATCATATATGTATGTTTTTCATATTCAAATATATTTTCCCCTCTTTATCACTAAGATTGTAGAAGTTTGCAGTTTTTATTTCTTAACAGGTGTTTAATATTAAAATGTATGAATATATCATGCAATTAACTTCCCCTGCTGATGCCACTTAAGTTGGCCCCGCTCTTTCACTGTAACAAATAGTGCTGTGGTAAATAACTGTATGTGTGAGTATATCTGTAGCATAAATTCTTCTGTGTGGAATTACTAGGTCAAAGGTTTTATATATACAGTTGTAATGTTTATATATATTGTCAACTTGCCCTCTGTAAAGCTTGGGTCAGTTTACACTCTCGCTGGCAATGTATGATATCCATGTTGTGAACATAGTGTTATATCAAGCTATTGGCAAATCTGATGGGTGAAATTATACTCAATATTGTTTAAATTTGCTTTTCTCTTATTGTGAGGTGGAGCATCTTTTCTTGTGTTTAAGAACTATTGTATTTCCTTTCCTGGAGACCATCAGTTTTTTTCTTTGCCAAGTTTTCTATTGGGTTATTGCTTTTTTCCTTAACGGTTTTTGGAGTGCTTTGTTTATTAGTCTGTCGTATATTCTAGTGCCATTTTATAGTCATGCAGGAACTCTGGGTTCTTATGTAATTTTTCACTTGAATAAGTTTATGTTGCCTAGTGAAGTTGCTATTTGCTATCACAAGAAACTAGTTAACATTTATGATCCGTTTTTAGTTTCAGATGTTGAGACTGGAAATGAGTATAGGAATTTAAAGCAAGAAGTTTCTGAAGAAATGAAACCATATGGGAATATATCTAGCAAATTTGAAAATGAAATGTCTCAGTCAGCTAGGTATGAAAAAACTTATGAACCTGAAGAAAAAACAGAAGAGCCTTCTGGATACTCCAGGGAAGATAAACAACATACATGTGATGAAAATGGAGTAAGTTTGACTGAGAACTCAGACCTTTCTGAACACCAGAGAGTCTGTCCAGGAGAAAAGCCTTATGAATGTGATGACTGTGGAAGAGCTTTTAGTCAACACTCATGCTTCGTAGAACATCAGAGGATCCATACTGGAGACAGGCCCTACAAATGCGAAGAATGTGGAAAGACTTTCCGTGGGAGAGCTGTGCTTATTCGACACAAAATAATACACACGGGAGAGAAACCATATAAATGTAATGAGTGTGGCAAAGCCTTTGGCCGGTGGTCAGCTCTTAATCAACATCAGAGACTTCACACAGGAGAGAAACACTACCACTGTAATGAATGTGGCAAAGCCTTTAGCCAGAAAGCAGGTCTCTTTCACCATCTCAAAATCCACACAAGAGACAAACCTTATCATTGTACTCAGTGTAATAAAAGTTTTAGTCGGCGTTCAATTCTTACCCAGCATCAAGGAGTCCATACTGGGGCAAAGCCCTATGAGTGCAGCGAGTGTGGAAAGGCCTTTGTTTATAACTCCTCCCTTGTTTCCCATCAGGAGATCCACCACAAAGAAAAATGCTATCAGTGTAAGGAATGTGGGAAGTCCTTCAGTCAGAGTGGCCTTATTCAGCATCAGAGAATTCACACTGGGGAGAAACCCTACAAATGTGATGTATGTGGAAAAGCCTTTATTCAGAGGACAAGTCTTATAGAACATCAACGAATTCACACTGGAGAGAGACCCTATAAATGTGATAAGTGTGGGAAGGCTTTCACTCAAAGATCAGTCCTCACGGAACATCAGAGAATCCACACCGGAGAGAGGCCCTACAAATGCGATGAGTGTGGGAATGCCTTCCGAGGAATCACCAGTCTCATTCAGCATCAGAGAATCCACACTGGGGAGAAACCCTACCAATGTGACGAATGTGGCAAAGCCTTCAGACAGAGGTCAGATCTTGGTAAACACCAGAGAATCCATAATAGAGGTGGTCCCTATAAATGGAAAGAGTGTGGGGAGTCGTTTAGGCAGAACTCAGCTCTTACTCAACATCAGACTACCCACAAAGCAGAAAAATCTGGTTCTGTGTGAAGACTGCAGGGAAGCTGTCTCACAGAGTGCAGGCTGGAGAGAAATACTAGCTTTGAGATGATTTAGGACAAAACGTTAAACACTATTGCTATAAGGTAACTTCGGATATTTCATAAAAAATACACTGCTGCCCATTTCATTAGGTGCTGTGGAGAACAAGGGGCGTAACACCAGATTCCTTTTCTCAAAGTTTACAACCTAGTTTGGGATATATAAGGTCCACTGTTTAGTCAAGACTATAGGACAATAGAATTGATGCTCAAAGTAGTGTAGAATTAAGTGGCACTTGGCAAGCTATAAATTCTGAAGGACAGATCACTGTTACCTGAAGTGGTCAGGAAAGACTTTATTTAAGAAAAAGTTTTGATGGGGATATTTGGAAGGCAAAAGGGAGAAAACATTTAGGGTAGAACAAATGTAAGCAGAGTGCATGTAGTTTGGAAGCATCAATGACAAGACTAGCCAGCCTAAAGTAGAGTTCATTCAGACTGGGCAGTTGATGGCACTATGTTGGAAACATAGCTTGAGGACAGACTCTGGGAGGGTTAGAATGCCAATAATTTCACCTAATACTTTGACACTTACAAAGCACTTTTCTCATTGAATTCCTAAAATGTTTCTATAAATTAAAATTATCCTCCATTTTAAAAATGAGGATACTCTTGCTTATGGAGATGGTGACATAGCTACAATATCACACAAAGGAAAAGACCAGCAGCATAAGTGCAGTTTTGTGACTTCAAGTCCTGTTCGTTACACTAGTGATTCCTCAACATCAGTGAACATCAGAATCACCTGTGGAGCTTGTTTAACATACCTGAGTCCCAGTCACAGATACTGTGCTTCATTAGGTCTGAGATGGGGATTGAGAATCTTCATTTTTATAGCTCCACAGTCACCTGATGTACTCTAAATTTTGAGAAACATTGCGCTGAATCACTGCTACCTTTGTGGTTGCCAGTGAAGTGAGGAAGCATGAACACAGGCCGCTGCAGATTTTTAGCATGAGGAAAGCCCTTCAGGGGACATGAGCCACCAGGTCTTTACAATGAACAGGGAAGTAGACCACCATCATGCCTAAAAACTAGGTCTTCGAGATGGCCTTTCTGTCCCTTCAAATTTAAATGTTTCAAAAAAGACTGACCTATATTCCAAGGCTCCCAAGGTTCTTCTGAGTGCAAAGCTTGTGTGTGTGTGTGTTTAGGGGCGGGGTGCTGGTGTTCTTCCCTGTTTTACGCTACCCTTTTTTCCCACCTCTGTAGTTACCATTGTGTTCTGAATCCCCTAATAATTTCTTGAGAGAACTGGCTTATAATTTTTTGGTTTGTATACCTTCTTGAGCACATAAAAGAGCCAAAGATTAGTGATTCTTTGCCTTGGGGCTTCAGAAAACAACAGATCAACCAAAGCCTGGTTGACATTACCCGTATATTACTGAGTAAACAATTCTGTTTTTGATGAGAACCTGTGATGATCATTGTAGTGGATAGCAGGCAAGCCACAAAGAAGTACACACAGCTCCTGGTCTGTTTATCTTTTTATTTACAGAAGTCATATTTGATCTCTACTGAGATATCTTTTTATTTCCCTTTCTACGTTGCTGCAGCAAACGCCACAGTTTCTAGGACTGCCTTCCCACCTCATCCCACACAACTTCAGTCCCCTCATCTCCCTTCACGTCTAGCTGCTCAGTGGGTTTGAAGTGGTAGGATAGTGACAAAAGAGGAAGGAGAGGAAAAAGAAGGGTAATCACCATTCTTTAACTATTCCTAACTACCTTTCTGCCCAGCCCTGTCTTTATCCCGTCTCTATACTCCTATAATATACTCTACCCCCATTTCCCTAGTGCCCTAGTCTCTTGCCCCTCCGTCCGTAATCCCTATATAGGACATAGGAATATCACTGGCTTGGAACTAGTAGAGTCCCTAGTCCTATAGAAATATATATGTTCCTAGCTTTCTAAATTGTAATTGTGAGCACATTTTCCCATGAAAATGATAATGGTGTTAGTGCTATAACTTAGGCATATTATGTGTCACATTGGCTTTTGGGATTAGATTTACGTTGACTGGGAAAACTTTCTGAGTTCACAACATAGGAAAGCAAATGAACATTTAAAAAACAACTCATTCACAAGCTGAGGACAGCTTAGGCTTTTTCATAAGACCAACACTGGAGTTGTGCACCAGGTATTGAGGCAGCTAGGATTGGAAACCTAATTTTTTTTATGTCCGGGAAACAAGCAAGGATCCTAGAACTGAGCGCTGAGAGCTCTGTAGCTGTAAGTATATGAGGCCTATTCCCTACCTAAGGTTTCCCTGTCTCAAATTTCTCTCATGTAAATTCGTCTCTTTGGAGGGGACTTGACTTAGTAACAAGAGCCTTCATGAGAACATCTCTTTACCAAACTGATGCTGTCCATATTTGTCATCTAATCTGATTTCACAAACATGTTTTCCAAACTGAAATTGCTCCTCATAATGTCAGAGCTTCTCTCTTTAATCTGACTGCTCGATGGAATGCAATCCTTATTTTAAACTTGCTGTCTACTCTCCATGCTGTTACTTGCAGTCTCTCCAGTTCAGCCTCTGCTTAACATGTTCTCTCAGTGCACACAGGTTCCTCCATTTGCCTATAACTCTCAAGTAATATTATAAAGGAACCATAAACAAAGACCCAGAACAATAGAATATGCCTATTGCATAGAAGAATACAGTTCGTAAAATAAATAGGGGTTAAAAATAAATGGGGTTTTGTTCTGGTGGTTTCTTGTGCTTAAATACAGTTGTAGAACCAAAAAAAAAGGGCAGAGTGGCATGGGGTTTCCAGGTGGGCATCAAAGGGGGTCAAACTAGTCCTAGAAAAGGAGAAGATATAAGGTTACTATCTGGAACTAAATTGGCCACACAGCGAAGTTGAAGGCCCTGAGGGGCAAGTGGAGGACATGATGTGTTAGATATGGAATTGGGGAGTGCGGTGAACAGAAAATGCCTTGAGATGAAGTCAGGAGTACATCTTTATAAAAGATGTGGTGTGACAATGACAGTACCTAGGAAATCAGGGTCCCTTGAAGCAGTTCATCTATGTGGATTTTTAAGTCATCAATAACAGGAGGCAGGATGGAAAGAAAAGAGTATGAAAGTGAAGCAATTCCACAAGAGAAGTAATGGCAGCCAGTAATACAATAGCCAGGTAGAACAACTGGTATAAAACTCAAATGAATCATGAAGCAGCAGCTTAGAAATAACATTAAGGGTGAGAATAAGATTGACTAGCCTCTGTTTTCTGATTGATTGAAGGTAAACAAAATATTGAGCGTTTAAGGCAAAACACCTGGAGAGGTTGGGGGAGAATCAAATTTCTAAAGCAGTGAAAAGTAAAATGAGCTTAAACATGGGCTTTGGATGAAAAAGTAACCTGACAATCACAAAAGGGTTCCAGAGAGTGTAATAGAAAGGGACTGTGAAGGGAAGGAAGATGGGGCCCTTTTGAAAAAAAACAAAAGCAAACAAAAAAACAAGGGTGCTGAGCAGGGCTCTGGGATTGAGAAATCTCATGGGCATGGTGAGGATGGAGGAATCCTCACCATGGGGCATGGTGAGGATGGAGGAATCCTCACCATGGGGCATGGTGAGGATGGAGGAATCCTCACCATGGGGCATGGTGAGGATGGAGCAATCAGATAGAAGCACTTAGAAAAGCTCTGCACTCCTATACTCAGAACAGAAGTAGCCTCTTTCGTTAATATCCAGTGATTGTAAAGTTGTTAACAGTCAAAGTCTTATTATTGGCAATCTTTAGGAGTAGAGGAAAGGATTTATTAACAGTATTATGTAATTGTTAACTGCTTACTAAGGGCCAGACATTAGTAAATGCTTTACTCACATTGTTTTATTTTTAGCTGGGGAAACAAATCAATAAAGCTGCTTGAGGTCACAAAGTTAGTATGTGGTGGGACCAAGATACAAACTAAGCAGTGTCAGAGCCCACTCTTCCTCTGTTTATTTCAGATGAACGAACTGCATGTTGCAGTGGTATTCAGTGCTTTGAGTTATTACCTGTAGAAAAATTTCAATTCCTATCAGTATTCTGGAAAATACTTAAGAAACTCTACAGAGTCCTGGGTCCAAACACCAAAGGTAAAGAAACTCTACAGAGTCCTGGGTCCAAACACCAAAGGTAATAATATCCCCATCCTCTTGCATACTAAATCTTGGATGAAGTTTGGGCCAGCATAAATATCAGCCCTAATTCTTGTTGCCTGCACAATGAGGGTGTCTGCAGGAGACATTTCACTTTAAAGATGAGCTCTTTCTAGGAAAGGATCACATTCCTAGCTTAGAACCATTATTCTCTGCATTATTCTGACAGAATAAGGGACATCTGACTAATATAAAGATTAGAGAGATGTCCCCATTGTGGATCTATCCAATAACTCACTATGGATATACCTTTGATGAGGGTTTTTAAAAGTTTTTATATTTGTAGCTAGTACCACTTCTTGGATTAAAAAAACATAGATAAGTATATATTATATAAAATAGTTCTTTCAGATGCCCCTCCTGACTCCACAAGAAAAGAATTTATTTGAGCAACAAGTGTTTGTTTAATATAGGGATAATCATTTTGATAACTTTAATTGAACTTTCTCAACTTTCAACCTTTCACACTGAAAATTTTACATTTTAAAGGCCCTCCAGCAGTTCATCATTTTATTAGAATTTCTTTGGGTCCTCTCTCCTTCCGATGTTTCTGGGTATAACTGGTAAGGAGTTCTTGCACCTTATTTCTTATACATAGTATTTTTATATCATATTTGTATATAAAAAGTAGGTATGGATATATTTTATATAAAATATGTTTTTAATTTTCACTTTATACATATACTTTTATATACATATAATTTGATTTTGACAAAGCCAACCACGATAAGTGTCTGAAACTTCTTAGTTGCTTAGCTCCCTAGCCCACATTGTGAGATCATTATTGAGAGCCAGCCTTTATCCCTTGATTTCTTGTAAACAGTTGATTCTTTTCCCACACTTATGAAAGACCTTTTCCAGGTCTGAAAACCCATCAGTCAAGGCTCCCAGAGTTTTCACCCATCACAGTTCAAGGTGATCTTTGGGGAATATATGTTTGCTTTACCAATCATCTTCTTAAGCCCAAATGGCCTGGTCCTGGGTGTCCCGAGGATTCCTAAGAGGAGGCCATTTGTCACCTCTGATTTATGCAGATCGTCATTATTCCTGTCTAAGCTTGATATGCGTATCTTACTTTTTGATCTAGCGCCTCAGCTTAGCCTACTTAAGTGAAATATTTAAGAGTAGGTGTATCACCATTTCATCCCTGATAAAGGAGGAGGAAATTAAGGAACTCTTCAGCTTGCTGTAGCCAAACTCTAGCTCAATGACTTTGAGCAAGCGACTTAATCTCATTTCCTCATAATGTAAAATATCGATAATAGTACCTACTTCTGCCTGGGGAGCTGCAGACCTAGGGAGGATAATTGTTATACGGATAAATGGCGGGTTTATATAAAGTGCTTAGAACAGTGGTTAGCACCTAAGTGCATTATAGCCGTTTGCTATTGTTCTATTGCCGTGGGCTCTCTCAATGAGCTCTCTCAAATGCCTTGCCTCTAGATGCTCCAGCCCCAGGCCAGAAATTACCTGTAACTACGCTGCATTTTTCCCAGGACTGCTGCGTTGTTGCCGCTGGGATTAAAGCTCCCGTTCAGGTCTACTTTTACTTTCTTACCTTGGGAACTAATGAACAGTGGCTGGCAGGAGATAAACATCGCCTAAACTGGCAAGGAAAGATTTTCCAATCTTTTGTCTCCACCCCTGTTAAAGATAATTAGCAGCTAAGGAGTTTCCCTTTTTGTCTGAGTTGCTCTTCTGAAGTTCTGCGCACCGTTGGGGGCGGGGGGGGGGGGGGGGGGAGGGGCCCGGGGGGGGGGGGGGGGGGGGGGCGGGGGGGGGGGGGGAGGCGGACCCTGGGCGGAGTCCGCCGTGCCCCAGCCTCAGAGCGCAGGCCCTTGGAGTTACCTGACCTAGCTGCCCGAGCCTGCGCTACTCAGCAGGGGCGGGGATGCTGCCAGGCAACCACAGAGAGGCGAGAACCTCCAGATTCCTAGAGGAGACCTGAGGGTGAGGCATTGTTGACAGCCGCAGGCCTAGAACTGCGAGTTCTTTTGGCTTTTGGGTCGTAAGTGGTGGTGATAGAGGGTTCGTGGACTCCGCCTTCGACTCAGTGTGTGATTCGGCCCTTTAGGGACTCCGGTGAAGTTCAGTCGGACGAATTGAGTTGCAGGCGAAAGTTAAAGATGGCTTCCAAGTCCTGAGTTGTCTTAGGCTGTTGAGAAAAAGAGGAAGGTCTGGAATCCCAATTTGGTAAAAGGAAAGTTGGGTTCCTTTGAGATGATCCCACTCATGACTCCCTAGAATAAGTCGGAACACAAGGAACGACATAGAATCCACTTGTTTGACTTTTAGCAAATTACTTAATCCCTCTGTGCTTCAGTATCATTGATCTGTCAGTGGAATGATAAAATCTGCTTAGATGAGTAAATTCACAGTCAATTTTCAATAAATATTAGCCATTATTTTCTGATCTCTAATGTTCTTTACCATTTGGGATTCTTAGAAGGGGAGAACCAAAGGGAGGAGGGTCATGGTCTTTCTCTCAAGCTTTATTAACTTAAACTAGGAAGTAAGAGATTATAGCAGATAGTGTTTACTAGTAATTTGCAGTCACTCCCACTCTGTCTTCTAATTTTTTTAGCTTTCTGACAGAGTTCCTTTTTTATTTCAGTGCGTTGTCAGGTAAGTGAGTTCTTGGGTAAGAGCTAAATAAAATTTAGAGTTTCTGTTAACAGTGTTGTTCTATGCCTCAGGAAGAAGACTAGCTACAAGGATATACTTCTGAAAAATCAGTGTGAACCCCAAGCTGGAGTGAATCTTCTCCTGAGCTCGCTTATTCCAGAATGGCAGTCTTCTTGCAGGAAAGATCTCTAATAGTGACTGATGGTAGAGGGAGAGGGCTGTGCCTGGGACCAAGAATCAGACTGGCAAAACAAAATCTTTCTTCCAACTTTAAGTTGTTGCTACCAGGAAAGAGATATTTGGACCTCACAGGGCTGTCAGAAGACTCGGGGAGCTCTCCCCACAGATGCTGAGACCAGAAATACAGACCAAGGAGCAGGCGCTGAAGCAGGTCCTGACCTCTGCCTGTAGAGCTGCAGACCTAAGAAGGATAATATCATTCAGAACGTAGAGAAGAGGCATCAGTTATGCTAGAGAGGTTGAAGAGACAGCTTGAAGGACAAGCCATCAGGTGGGAAGGGTTGGGAGGATCATTTATGGCTTGACTAGTGAAAGGCTTTAGGAATAGAACAGAAAGCAGCAAAACAACTTTAGGATCCACCAGATGTCTCTGGAGCCATAACCCAGTATCTCCCTCATGGGCTTTAATTCCGCCAGGTATTCATGTACACCTCTGGAACCTTCTCTGCCTATATTGGGTTTTTTTTGTTATTTGGGTGTTTTTACTGAAGGACAGCTTCAAATTCAATTTTCCAAGACCATCTTCATCCCATTGCTTTTACGGCCCAGATAGAACAAGGATAGAACAAGGTATGCTTATGGCAAGATAGTACCCTGGAATCAAGAGGTGTCAGGTCCAGTCTATTAAGACCCTATCTTAGTTTAACTCTCACGTTATTGCCTTATGAAATGGAAAGCAGATGAGAAAGAATGTCTGCAGAGAAAGAAGACATCCTTGAAAAGAAGGTTTTTAGAACTCTTGTTAGTGTCCTTTCCCTGGAAACCTTGCCCCTACCAGTCTCTTTGCCCAATTCTTTAGGTAGAAACTCTGGGTAATATTTGGGAGGTGTCTGTGTTTTGTTATTGTTTTGACTTGTTCAACTCCTTTAGCTTCAAAATGTTTTTCTTATCTTTTAATCCTGCATATTAACTGAAAAAATTATTTTCCCCACTGTTATTTTTCCAGTTTACTGATTTCCCCACATCAAAATAGTATGCATTTTGAAACTGATCTGCCTGTTGTTTCAAGTTAACTTTTATTATATGCCATTGTTTGTTGATCCATTTAACAAACATTTATGGAGCATTTTGTCTATACTAGTGGCCTAGGTACATTCATTTGGTGTAAATGATACTTTTAACTACCTTTAGCAAATTAAAATTTCTCTTGGTTTCATGATATTCCCTTTTTTTCACCTCCAGATTCAAACTGATCTCTTCTTAACTTTTTTGATTATACCTTTCTGATTCTTTGTCACATTTTGTGAGAAAATTCTGTATGCTCTTCCAGTCTCTTTCTGACGGTCCAGCTGTCTCTTCTCAAACTGGAACTTCACATGCCTTCTTGCGTGCTTTTCAAAATTGAATTGGTAGTTTAGGGATACTGAAAAGGCATGCAATTTAGATAAAACTGGGTTTTATTTTCATCGCTGTTTCTCATCATAAGTCTCATGATCTCAGCGGAAGAGACAACTGACATTTGAATTGTCTGTGCATTTTTTTTAGATGGTGTTACTGAGAATGAAAATAAGGACTTGTCTCCAACACAAAAAAATGTCTGAAGATGCTAAATCATGTGGGGGGAATCTGTAGAATTACAGCATCAATGCAGTAAGTTAGTAAAAGCTTTAGTTACTGATGAGTCATTATTCAGCATTAGGAAGTACATACCAAAGAGAATGTCTCTGAGAGCAACACTTTTGGAAAAGCTTTTGTTTACAGTGGGTCCCTCCTTTCCCACTAGGAAATCCATCACAGGGGAAAGTGCTATCAGTATAAGGAATGTGGGAAAGTTGTATTTGACATCAGCCAAAGCAGCCTTATTTGATATCAGAAAATCCACACGAGCAAGAGACTGCATAAAATGTGATGACTGTAAGGATGCCTTTATTCAGCGTGGAAACCTTATAGAACCGTATGTGAAGGGAGTAGGAAGGAAGGCCTTCACCCAGAAGTCAGGACTGACTGCACTAGAGAATCCACATAGGAGATAGATCTTACAAACGTGATGAACGTGGAAATGTTTTCCACGGGATCACCAGCATTATTCAGCATTGGAGAAATCACACTAAAGAAAAACTGACAGTGTGATGAGTATGGAAAAGTCTTCAGATAGAGGTTGGGCCTTAGTAAACAGCAGTGAGTCCATATTAGGGAGGCTCTTTTAAATGAGAATATTGTGGGAAGTTGTATGGACAGACATCAAGCCTCAACAATAGTCTCCATGATATTGGAAAATTAATATAATTAATGTAAATGGGCAAGATGTATGGGGAATGGATATCTTAAATTTCCCATTGTAGCCACTAAAAACATTCAATGAACGTCTCAAGCCAAGAAAAGGAAAAGTCAGAAGTTCTTTTCGCTTCTCAAAGGAGTCTGTAAACATAAGCAACCAGGACTTTTGAAATTAAGTTGTTTACCTGCATCCCTGGACTTGTGACACTATCTCTGAGATGATTATCTCTTTACTGGGGACATGTTATTTTCCCATGCCCACTCTAATCTCATATCTTAAATTCATTCAAGTGTAAACAATATTGTTTACTGTTTATTGTAACTATATATATATATACATATACACATATATATTATTTTTATGGGCTAAATAGGCTTGTATGAGTACATCAGGGCACAAAAATGACATTATTAAAGTTTCAGTAAACATAATGAAAGGAACCACATCACTGAATTGTTGGACGTTGGCTGCTTTCCTAAATTTGGCACTGCCTCTGTGTTCTCCCAACAGAAGGCCATATAGGTGTCATTCACAGAGTATATTTCCCAGATTTGGTTTTTTTGTTTTTGTTTTTGTTTTTTTAAAGATAGAAAAAGAGGGCTTCCCTGGTGGCGCAGTGGCTAAGAATCTGCCTGCCAATGCAGGGGACATGGGTTCGAGCCCTGGTCCGGGATGATCCCACATGCTGCGGAGCAGCTAAGCCCGTGCACCACAACTACTGAGCCTGTGCTCTAGAGCCCGTGTGCCGCAGCTACTGAAGCCCGTGTGCCTAGAGCCCGTGCTCCGCAACAAGAGAAGCCATCGCAATGAGAAGCCCGTGCACTGCAACGAAGAGTAGCCTCCGTTCACCACAACTAGAGAAAGCCCGTGCACAGCAACAAAAGACCGAACGCAGCCAGGATAAATAAATAATAAAATAAATAAATTTATTTAGAAAAAGATATTTCACATATAGCTTATTGACAGATAATAATAGAGGTATTTTCCCTTATAGATAACACACAATATCCTGAAGGCTAATACTTTAATTTGTTTATTATTCTTTTCAGTTCTAAAACCTACAGGCTAAAAGAGGAAAGAATCATTTAGAAGCTCTTCTTCAGCAAATTGGCAGTGTAGCCCAATCTCTATGAAAATGAGGCTTATGGATTTTATAGTAGGTCACTAAATATAGGAACCACAGATTTCAAAACTTTGCAATGATTATTTCACAATTAGGAGTTTATATCTGCTATATATGCCTAAATTTTCTGAATAGGCATTACGGTCACTATTTTAAAAGATGGATTCTGTTCTATAAAAGGATTTTTCAGCATCCATAGAAACGACATTATTTTTTTCCCTTAATTTTATTATTTTCTTGTATTACATGACAGGCTTTCCTGACATTGAGCCAATCTTGCATTCCTGGAATAAATTTCACTTAGGTATGGTGTTTTCTTAATGTGTTTATGGGTTCTACTTGCTAATATTTTATTTAGTACATTTTTATTCAATATTTATGTAAAACTGGTCTGTAATTTTCTGTATTTTTCAGGTTCAGGTTTTGATTTTACTTGCATCATAAAAAGGGCTAAGTTTTTATTTTTTAATGTTCTAGAACAATTTGTAAAGCATTGAAATTATCTGGTTTTTGAAAGTTGAATTCTGACGTGAAACCATCTGGGCTGGGTACTTTTTTGTGGGATAGTTCCATGGTAACTTTTTTCTATTTCTTTTACAAAAATGGTCTATTTAGGCTATTTATAACGGGGGTCAATTTTGATAATCTATTATTTGTTTATAAAACTCTCCATTTTGTCTAGACTTTCAAGTTATTTGCCTAAAATCTGCAGTATAATGTGTTATGACTTTTTAAACAGTTTTATTGAGGGAAATTGATTCACAGTAAACTGCACAAGTATATGATTGAACATGACAGGTTTTGGGTTTTTTTGGTTAAGGTAACATTGGTTTATAACATTGTATGTTTCATGATTACAACATTATATTTCTACTTCTGTATACCCTACAGCATGCTCACCACCAAAAATTTAGTTTCCATCCATCACCATATTGTTGATCCCCTTTACCCATTTCACCCTCTTGTCAGCCCCTTCCCCTCTGGTAACCACTATTCTGTTCTCCATATTTACATGTTTGATTTTGTTTGGTTTGGTTTGTTCATTTATTTTGTGTTTTGGGGGTTTCTTCGTTTTTTATATTTCACAGATGAGTGAAATCATATGATATTTGTCTTTTTCCATCTGGTATTTCACTTAGCATATTACAAATAACAAGATTTCATCTTTTTCAGTAGCTGAGTTGTAGTCTATCATGTAGATATATACCACATCTTCCTTATCCATTCATCTGTTGAGCTCTTAGGTTGTTTCCATATCTTGACTACTGTAAATAAATGCTACAATGAACGTAGGGGTGCATATATCTTTTCAAATTAGTGTTTTCGTATTCTTTGGGTAAATAACCAGAAGTGGGATAGCTGGATCATATGGTGGTTCTGTTAATATTTTGAGGAGTCTTCATACTGTCTTCCATAGGGGCTGCACCAATTTACATTCCCACCGACAGAGCACAAGGGCTCCCTTTTCTCCACATCCTTGCCAACACTTGTTATTTCTTGTCTTTTTAATAATAGCCATCCTGGGGCTTCCCTAGTGGTGCAGTGGTTAAGAATCCGCCTGCCAATGCACGGGACACGGGTTCGAGCCCTGGTCCGGGAAGATCCCACGTGCCGCAGGGCAGCTAAGCCCTTGCGTCACAACTACTGAGCCTGCACTCTAGAGCCCGCGTGCCACAACTACTGGAGCCCGTGCTCCGCAACAAGAGAAGCACTGCAATGGGAAGCCTGCACGCCACAGCGAAGAGTAGCCCCTGCTCGACGCAACTAAAGAAAGCCTGCGTGCAGCAATGAAGACCTAATGCAGCCAAAAATAGATAAATAAATTTATTTAAAAAATAATAATGATAGCCATCCTAACAGGCATGAGGTGATAGCTCACTGTGGTTTTGATTTGCATTTCCCTAATAATTAGTGATGTTGAGCATCTTTTCATGTACCTATTGGCCATTTATATTATGTTTTCTTTGGAAAAATGGCTACACAGCTCCTCTGCCCATTTTTTAATCAGTCAAAGGTACGACAGTTGAATGTCAGGCCAATAGGGGTAAAGCAGTACCTTATTTAACAAATACAAATTACCTGTCCCTAGATGCTATAGATGTAAAAGTCCGGTAATGTCAGCAACCAACCATATATGAAGTGTCAGAATTTTACAGATAAAGGGAATTGAGTCCATGGCCATAACAATCAATACTGGACATTGCCAGATAGGGGGTACAGAGTGTCTCCTTCAGCAAGGAAAGGGAAGTCCAGCTTAGAGAAGAGGTCCATTCAGTCTGTGTGGCCTAGGGTCCTTCAAACTTCTCAAGAGCAACGGAGTTTGGAGGCCTTCCTACAATCCTACAATGGACCCAGAAGTGCATCCAGAAGGAGGGAAGTGCCAGTTTGCTGGCAAAGAGAGTCTTCTAGGGCTACAGGAAAGAAAGGATCGCTAAATTAAAAAAAAAAAAAAGTATAGGATACATAGGAAATAACCATATGGCTAGCAGTGGCAGAAAATGCTGTTTATGTAATTGAAATCATACAGAGTATATTCTCTGACCACAATGAAACCAAACTAAACAGAAAAATCTCCAACTATTTGGAAACTAAGGAAAGCATTTCTAAATAATGCCCAGGTTAAGGAGGAAGTCTCAAAGGAATTTTTTTTAATACATAGATTGAAGGAAAATAAATACAACTATCACAGTATGTGAGACACAGCTAAAGAAATGCTGACGGGGAAAATTACAGCACTAAATGCTTATATTAGAAAAGTGGAATAGTCTGAAATCAATAATTGAAGTTCCTGCCTCAAGAAACTAAAGATAAAGAGCAAAATAAACCCAAGACATCAGAAAGAAGAAAATAATAAAGATAATAGCAGAAATCAATGAGATTGAAAATAGGAAAACAATAGAAAAAAGTTAATGAAACAAAGCTGTTTCTTCAAAAATTTTTCCAATAAAACATAAACCTTTAGTAAAACCGACAAGATGAAAAGAGAAAAGATACAAATCACTAGTAACAGGAATGAACAATACTACAGATCCTGCATTTATTAAAAGCTTTGTAAGCGCAGACAATGAACAATTTTGCACTTATAATCATAACTTTGACTACTTAGAAGAAGTGGACCAATTCTTCAAAAAGTGCAAGCAACCAAAATCCAACCAAGATGAAATAGATAATCTGAATAGTCCTTTAGCCATTAAAGAAATTGAATTAATAATTTAAAAGTTCCCAATCTTCAGGTCTAGAGGGCTTCACTGGAGAATTCTACCAAACAATAGAGGCAGGATTATCAACAATTTTACACAATTTCTTCCAGAAAATAGATGGGTTATATTTTCCAACTTTTTTTTTTAACATCTTTATTGGAGTATAATTGCTTTACAATGGTGTGTTAGTTTCTGCTTTATAACAAAGTGAATGAGCTATACATATACATATATCCCCATATCTCCTCCCTCTTGCATCTCCCTCCCACCCTCCCTATACCACCCCCCCTAGGTCCCACCCCTCTAGGTGGTCACAAAGCACCTATCTGATCTCCCTGTGCTATGAGGCTGTTTCCCACTAGCTATCTATTTTACATTTGGTAGTATGTATAAGTCCATGCCACTCTTCCAACTCTTTTCATGTTGCTAAGATTACTCTGACAGGCAAAAAACAAAAGAAAAACAACTCAGCCTAAACCACACACCTTATACAAAAATCAGCTGAAAACAGATCATGGGGCTAAAACATAAGACATAACTTAAAACTTCAAAGAAAACATAAGAGGAAATCATCAGGACCTAGAGTTAGGCAAAGATTCTGAGAACTGACATCAAAAGCATGATTCATTAAAGGAAAAATTAATAATTTTGTCTTCATCAAAATTTAAAACTTTTGATCTGTGACAGACTCTATTAAGAGGATTAAAAGACAAGCTACAGACGGGGGAAATATTTTTATACCATATATCTGACAGAGGAACTGTATCTAGAATATAAGAAGAACTCACCTAATCGCAACAGTTAAACAACAAACAACTCAATTAGCTATGGGCAAAACTTATGAACAGACATTTTACTGAAGAGTACCCAACAATGGAGGCACTGTGTCATTCACCATTTCATGCCCCCATATCACCTCCCAGTCACCCTCACTCCCAAGGTTACTTTAACTTTTTTCTCTTCATTGTAGATTTTCTTAAATTCCATCAGTTGAATTTAGACACTTTTTTTTTAAACAAAAATGTGGAGAAAGAAGTGTAATACAGACACTTCAAGGGTTACAACACCAACTACCAGGAGAGTATTGTCTGTCTGCTTGACTGGGAGCTCAGGGAGTAATGTGGAGTCCATCCTGCAGAGATGGCTAGAGCATTGGGAACCCTTTTTTCCTTAAAGTAACTGAGGTTGGGAAGAGATCAGGAGGCACAGAGGATCGGCTCCACACCAGTAAGCGTAGATTTGCACTGACTTTCGTTTTTCAGTGGCCGTCTGCTCAGCCTCAAGAAACAAACTTTTAATAACTAAGGC